TTTTAATAAAATATTAGAACAATTATAGCCCCAGTGTAAGAGTAACCAAAACATTTTAGATTAATATCTTGAAATCTACATATAAAATCTGTGGCTGTGTAAAATCATCATAAATAAGGCAAGATGCTCAGCAGTGAGACAATAGAGATGTACAATTGAATTAAATTTTTAAATGTTATGGCCAAAAATATGCCTCAAAAGTCACACACACACATAAAACTGGAGAAATTTTACTATCTGAAATATCTAAGATGTTGAGATCATCTGTGGATGGTACCAGTGTCAATTCCTGGTTTTGATATTATGGTATTTAAGATATTGGGAGAAATTGGGTGAAGAGCTCATGGGACATTTCTGAATTTTTCTGTAATGTCCTGTGTATCCAGTATTATTTAAAAATAAAAAGCTAATTATAAAAAGTCATTTGAAAACATATTTGTAAAAATCACTTGAGAGTCTGTTTAGTGTAGGAAAATGGGCATATAATATGAGTATATAACAGTAATAGCAAATCAAATATATATACTTGGTCACCATTTTGATTATATATATTATATAATATTAAATATATTTTGTATCACATATTTTATACTAAATATATAAATTTCCTCTAACTCAGTATATAGTTTAAGAAGACAACAAGGAAGCTCTTACATACCATCATCTTGGGAAAAACTTGAGCCAAGAACTTCCAAACTAGTAGCAAAAGAGTGCTCTCTGACTCTTCTGGCAAAAATGACAGTATTTTAGGGGAAAATCTGAAGACATCTCTAACTATTCACAATGTGGATGTGTTTTAACTCAGGATTCTCCAGCGCTGGCACAACTGATCCAGATTGTTGTGGTGGGATCTGTCCTGTGCCTTGTAGGATGCTGTGCAATATCTCTAACTTCTTCTGAGCCCTCCACGTGTGACAACCACAGTCACAGCTAGATTCTGACTTTCACTACCTTATGTTTCTGTATCACTGATATGCTAGTGATTTAATTTTAAAGGACATGAAGGACCATCAAAGGGAGACTAACACAGGCACACAATACAGGTTCTGCATGTGCGCATGCACGTCGTGTCTGAATCCACGCGACCCTGTGGACTGTAACCAACCAGGCTCCTCCATCCAAGGAATTCTCCAGGCAAGAATCCTGGAGTGGATTCTGTGCCCTCATCCAGGAGATCTGCTCAACCCAGGGACCGAACACACATTTCCTGTGTCTCCTGCGGCTCATGTGCATTGCAGGCAGATTCTTTACCCAGTGAGCCACCTGGGAAGCCCATGATACAGTCAAGTAATAAATCATTAGAGTAGTAATTGGAGGCAAGTCTATGGGAAATTATTAAGAAGGAAAAAAGGTAGGGAAAATGATTTCACTAAAACATGAGGGGCAATTTTGATGTGCAAAGGATCCTATTCATGCATTTGTATAAAACTGTATTGGCATGTATATGTAGATAGTATACAAAGAGAAGTTTTACAATAAATTAAGAATTTATGGGACAAAATGTCAGTGAGAATGAAATTAGTCTATGTCAAGTGATTTCAAAACAGCTGTATGTAAAAAACTTGGGTGAATATCTAAAGAATATTATATAGAAATATGAAATAGTAATGATTTAACAACATCAACATGGGTCATCAATACAAAATTAAATTGCCAAGACTTGGTAAAAAAAAAAAAAAAAGACTATAACAGAATGAATTTTAAAATGTAGTGAGAATGCATTACCTGAATTATTTCCTCTTACATGAATATGTGTAGATTTCTATTTCTTTTAGGAAGACACAAGTGATCCTTGGTCAAAAGGTAATGAAGCATGCCTTCCACATGAAGGCCAGGTTTGATGCAACTTTTAGAAACAGATCTAATCACACACACACACACACACACACACACACACACACACACACACACACAATGGAAAGCAAAACAAAAGAAAGCAAAGGAAAAGAGCAATATAAAGACTTGGAGAAATTAAATAGGGTGATTTATTAGCACTAAAGATGTAGTTACTTCACTGCCATTTTTTGTTAAAACAAGAATTTACAAGTGAAGAAGTCTAACCTGAGAACTCAATTCTTTCAGAAAAATTTAAAAAATGGGAAAGCAATGGAGGGAGCACATGTGCTTGATTGATATATTGATCACATGAAAACTATATACACTCATAACTCCTCTCAAATGCATCTATGCATACATGTACAGGCATGCATGTGTGCTAAGCCACTTGAGATGTGTCCGACTCTTTGTGACCCCATGGGACAGTAGCCCACCAGGCTCCTCTGTTCAAGGGACTCTCCAGGCAAGAACACTGAAGCGGGTTGCTATGCCCTCCTCCAGGGGATCTTCCCAACCCAGGTATTGAACCAGCATCTCTTATGTCTCCTGCAATGCCAGGTGTGTTCTTTACCATTAGCACCACCTGGGAAGCCCTCTTCAGTTCAGTTCAGTCCAGTCACTCAGTCATGTCCGACTCTTTGCGACCCCATGGAATGCAGCACGCCAGACTTCCTTGTCCAGCCCCTATACATACATAAAAGAACTAAATAGCAAATAGCCAGTCTATGGGGGGGGGTGGGGGACAGAAAGAAAAAACAATTCATCGTTTGAAAGATTGGAAGTAACCACAGAAAATTTCTCCTATTTGCCTATACTAAAGCAAAAATTTCACAAAGATAATTTGAGATAGAGAAAGTAAGTAACCAATAAATCCACATACATATTCATCCTCTCAAATAATGAGATAGTTTCAAAGTAAGCACATCCGTATCCCCCTTTACACATCTTAATTTTTTCTTTTTCTCTTTCTTTCACAGAAAATAACTTGAAAAATGGCATTCGCACCTGCTGTTACAAAGACATATTTGCAAGCACTTATTGATGTGAAATGTTCTCATCATTAAAGAAGCATTATGGAAATATGCTCCATTTTAAAAGTTAAAAAGAAATGCTTTCACTTCATTTTATAGCCCTCCAACTAATAGCCTATCTCTCTATTGCAGGTAATTAATATGTTCAGACCTATGTTCTACTCTTACTGGAAGGAATTTATGTTTCCCCCCCATTTTCTAATGGGGCTTCCATTCCTAACATTTAATTGACATCACAGAGCAATATCTTCCTAAGTTCTATGTTCATTACTCTTTTTAGCATCATTAAAATACACTGATATTTTAATCAAGCAAGAAAACAACCACAATGGTCTCTGGGATTAACTGAAGTAAGCAGTCTCTCAGGTAATCATTCTTGGATTTCATTCTATTTGTCATTCTTCTGAACTCACCTGCATGGGAACGCTGAGAGGAAGGACCTCGTGTGGGAGTCTGAATCTCTTCCTGGATGGTTGATGATGGAGACTGAAGCTCTGTCCCCAGACAAGTCAGCAGGAAAGGGCCATGCATTGGTCCTTCACCAGACTTAGGACTCTAAAAGCAACAACTTGTCTCATCCATGCCCAGGTTGTACAAGTTCGGGGACACAGCAGAGGAGATATTCACAGTTCTCATTACATACATTCCCCTCTTTTTATTAATACAATGACCTGTAAGCACATGAAATTCCTGAGAGAGTTGGTCTGGGCAGAAAGGATGTGTTTCCCTATTGGTTCTCTGTTCTCAGGAGACCAAGTAACAAACCAGAAGAACTAAATATGTATTAATATTTCTCTATTAACTCTCTTGTCCTCCAGCTATCTAAGTCTTCCAGCACTTTATCCCAATCCTGAGCTTAAGTTTTCTCCAGCCTCTGAGACTCAGGTAACTGCTGTGACTAGGTCCCTTGGTTCAAGAAAGCATTGACCTATGGTGGGGACATAGCTCAGGAAATCCTTAGAAAAGCTTTTTTCCCTCTTTCTGAGAGGGACAAGAGTGTCCCTTTAATGTAAAACATTGGAGTGCACTTCATGGCTTCCTCACCCTTTTGCTAAAACCTTTAGGAATTCCATATTATATCTGAAGTTAAGAGCTACCAGTCAGCCCTTAATTTAAAAAGGTTTGTAAGTTGTGAGATATAGTTAGATATTGCCAAACACCATAACCTACCTCAACACATTACAGAGATTATCAGATTTAATTTTTAAAGAAGCTTCTTCTGTGAGGTGGTACTACTACAACTCCATCCTCCATTTCAGGAATGAGGTTCAGAGGAATTTCACATCCTGCTAAAAATCACAAACTTGTTATGGGATGGAGTCTTGACTGGAATTTTATCAGGATGTTTCCAGTTCTCAAACTCTGGTTCATGGTTCCCAGAGAGAGACCTGTTTTTTTGTTTTGTTTTGTTTTCTTTTTTCATTTATTTTTATTAGTTGGAGGCTAATTACTTTACAATATTGTAGTGGGTTTTGTCATACATTGACATGAATCAGCCATGGATTTACATGCATTTTGATCCTGGAGATATGTGGCAATGTCAAAAAGGATCCAGCTGAACACCCACAATATCCAGGACTCAACACAGATAATTGTCCTGCAAAAAGGTTAACATCTAGAAGATGATAGACACACTTTAAACCAGCACTGCTCCAAGTTTCTAGCTTCCCAGATGGCTCAATGATTAAGAACCTGCCTATCCATGCAGGGGATGCGGATTTGATCCCTGGCTCAGGAAGATCCCGTGGAGGAAGACACAGCAATCCACTCCAGTATTCTTGCCTGGAGAATTCCATGGACAGAGGAGCCTGGCAGGCTATAGTCCATAGGGTCGCAAAGAGTTGGACTTGACTAAAGTGACTTAGCACGCATGCATCTTTAAGGAATTCATCTAGTTATATGAAAAAATGATTAATTCCCAAATTATCCAGATCCAAGGCTGAGAATAAATCTGAGAAACTGGGAAAACTTATGGTTTATGAAAAAAATATTTGAATTATGAGAGATATCACAAGCCTTAACTGAGTTATATAAATCATATGGAGAAGCTGAAGTCATAAAGGAAAATTCCAGGAAATAAATTGAAAGAGCAAGTTCAACTTCTACAGCCTGATCAGATAATCTAATCAGAGATTAGCAATTTATGGTTCTGAGGCCTTTCTTCAGCCCAGGTGAATTACATTTTTCTATAGCTGATATTTGAAAGAACTCTCTCAGAGCTCTCTTAATATCCTTGTTCCTCAGACTGTAGATGAAGGGGTTCAGCATGGGTGTGACCACAGTGTACATCACTGAGGCTGTTGCACTTGAGTGTGAGCGGTGGGGAGCAGCAGAGCTAAGGTACACGCCTAGGCATGTACAGTAAAATAAGGAGACGACTGAGAGGTGTGATGCACAGGTGGAGAATGCTTTACACTTCCCCTGAGCTGATGAGATTCCACATATTGAGGAAGCTATCTTACAGTAAGTGTAAAGGATACCTGCAAGGGGAACACCACCCAGAATCCCAGCTCCAAAATTCATCACCAGTTCATTAAGAAAGTTGCTGGAACATGCAAGTTGAATCAACTGCTTGAGTTCACAGAAATAGTGAGGGATTTTCACCTCTCTGCAGAAGGACAGTGTCAATACCATTAAGGTTTCTAACAAGGAATGTAGGATACTGATGATCCAGCTAACCAAAATCAGAATTCCACAGCGGTGTGGGTTCATGATGACCGTATAGTGAAGGGGGTGGCAGATGGCCACAAAGCGGTCATAGGCCATCACAGTCAGGAGGAAGTCATCCAACCCTGCAAACAGCATGAAAAAATACATCTGAATCATACAGCCTTCATGGGATATAACTTGGCTCTGTGTCTGGATGTTCCACAGCATCTTTGGGATGATGGTGGAGGTGATACAGATGTCTACAAAGGACAGGTTGGAGAGGAAGAAGTACATGGGGGTGTGGAGGTGGGGGTCTGAGCTGACGGCTAGGATGATGAGCAGATTTCCAAACACAGTGATCAGGTACATGGAGAGGAAAGGTCCAAATACGAGGGGCTGCAGTTCTGCTTCCTCCGAAAATCCAAGAAGAAGAAATTCTGAAACATGTGTTAGGTTCCTTGGTACCATAGGCTGAAGGTAACTATGAGGAAAGAGGAAAATAGCATGACCAATTTTTACACAATTAGATATCGCTCACATTGTTGAAGGGCTGCCATTTATAATTGCCTATCAAAATATTAATTTCAAAAATTTGTTCATGAATTCAATCCCCTTGGTGGAATTTCTTATATCGTTTTAACTAGCAAGATTGTTCAACTTTCAACATTTTCCCTGGCAAGTCAGGTATTTCTCATATTTAGGGAGAAATTCTTTCATTTTTTCAGGGCATTTAAATTGTGTGCCAACAATGTTCCAGGTGCTGTCTAGGCAATGAGTATGGGGTACTGAAAAATAAAAGATCTGACTATCCATCTACAGAGAAAAATTCAGAGAATTATAAAAAAAAAAAAAGAAAAGTTATGTGCCAGGACTAGCTGGTAAAGAGAACAAGTCCCGATCGCAACGGCACGGAAGCCTGAGAAAAAAGCCGATAGTAACGAATGGGGTCAAGAGGACTGAATGCTCTGTAGGCAAGTCAGTGATTTTATTGAGCAAAACAGCTACCTTTATACTAGTACAAGCAGAAAACATAGTTCATAAAAATGCCATCTGGTTTTTGTCACATCAATACAATTCTTTGTCTTAAGTGATTGCAAAAGCTTACATCTTGTTTTTGGCATTCCAAGATAAACTACTAAGTGAAGGTCACTGCTATGTTTTTCTCAAGGAAGAACAAAGGAGACCCGGCAAATGTTTTACTACTTTATCATGGGGTGGCGGGACAGGTAATGGCCTCTTTCAAGGCTTTCCCAGGGCCTTTTTGGGCCTTGAGCAGGCCGGCTCCCCGCAGTTATCTATAGCTTCTCAGATCGTGACAGATGCTATGAAGAAAATGAAAGCAGGTATAACAGAATGAGTAAAGAGGGGTGCTATTTTTTATGGATGTTCATGCTAAGACTTGAAAACTTGAAAATCAAGGTGACATTTCCATGAACACATCAGATGAAACGTGTGCCAGTCAGGGAGAACAGCTGTGCAAAAAGAGGTACTTCTTTAAGATGTTCAGTATGGGAAAGGTAATGGCCAGGAGCAAGAGTGAGGAGAGATGATGTCATAGGATGCTTAGGAGCAAGGTGGCCTCCCTACTGCTGCTGAACCATCAAATATCAAGGAGTCCCTTATATACATTATGTATTTTTAGAACCTTAGGAAATTTTTGCAAAGTTGGCTTGTAAGTACTAATGAATCCCTTCTGTCAGTTGAGTTTAGAACTCTGTTATAAGATTCACCTTGGAATGTATGGGCTCAGAACTCCTGCTTGGAGAACTTAACACACTTCACAAGGCATGAAAACACACACACACCGTAGAACCTTCCCTCCTAGGCTGTGTAACTTCCATGTCGTTTTCACCCCTAACTACCCTTATTAAGTTAGATGTTGATATAACTCAAGATGATCATGGCAAATTACCTAGAAATGGCATTCAGAAATTCCAGATTGTAAATTTTCCAACATTCCCAGATAGCTCAGTGGGTAACGAATTTACCTGCAATGCAGGGGACACAAGAGACGCAAGTTCGATCCCTGGGTCAGGAAGATCCTCTGGAGAAGGGAATGGTGACTCACTCTAATACTCTTGCCTGGAGAATCCCATGGACAGAGGAGCCTGGTGGGCTACAGTCCATAGGGTTGCAAGGAGTTAGACACAACTGAAATGACAGAGCACAGTACCTATAAACTTAGAGCTCTGCTTTGGTATAGCCATTTGATGCTGCATATTAAACTTCTGTTGAACATTTATTACATAAACTCATGTTGTTGTTCAGTCAATAAGTCATGTCTGATTCTTTCCATGGACTGCAACACATCAGGCTTCCCTGTCCTTCACTACTACTGAAGTTTGCTCACATTCATGCCCATTGAGTCTGTGATGCTATATGTTTGTATATATATATATATATATATATATATATATATATCACATAATATATAATATATTATATATTTATGTATATATATATATATACACAATATATATATATATACATATACACATATATATACACATTATTTTCTTTCTCAAAGCCTGAATTTTAAGATACATGTGGACTTCCTTAGTGGTCCAGTGGTTAAGAATCTGGCTATCAATGCAAGGGTCACGGGTTCGATCCCTGTTCCAGGAAGATTCCACATGCCACCAGATAACTAATCCCATGCATCACTACTACTGAGTCAGAGTTCCCTAGAGCCCATGCTCCCCCAAACAGAAACCACCACAATAAGCAGCCTGCACACTGCAACTAGAAAGTGGCCCTTGCTCAGCCCAACTACAGAGAAGCCCACACATCAATGAAGACCCAGCACAGGCAAAAATAAATAAATAAATAAAACTGAAAAATGATGTATGTATGCATCAAGAGAGAGAGAGGGGGGAATTGGACATAAGAGAAAGAAAGATCTCATAAGCTCAAATGGTCCCTGACAGACTGTAGTAAAGAAAGCCTTCATTGGTTCTGGTGACATTTCATGTGCTATTATACTCCCTTGATGCCCAGGAAAAATGATATAAAAGAATACACTTACCCAAAAGATAAAGTAATGATGTCTTTATGCTTTAAAACACTTGCAGATTATACCACTCAAGATAAAAATGAGCAAAGACAAAAAAGCAAAACAACAACAATAACAACACTTTGTAAAAGGATGTTTATAAAGTACAGTACATAATGTAAAATGAATGTTGACCACTTTTAATGTGCTATCCTGTGCTAAGTTGCTTTAATCATCTCTGACTCTTTGCAAACCCATGGACCGTAGCCCGCTAGGCTCTTCTGTCCATGGGATTCTCCAGATAAGAATACTGGAGTGGGTTGCCATTTCTTCCTCCAGGGGATCTTCCTGACCCAGGGATCGAACCCACAACTCATGTCTCCCACATTGGCATGCAGGTTCTTTACCACTATCGTCACCTGGAAAGCCCATCTTTAAGATGAGGCTGCAAAATCTGTTTATCCAGTGTCTGTTTTATATTTTTTGGTTTAGTTGTTTTTCTGTGGTCCAATAGCAGACTGGCAATCCTCTTTCTCTCTTTTCATATGTGGCCCCTTCTGTTTGCTGCTCTTGGGTTTTCATCATTTTTCTCTTAATTTTTGTTCCTAGCTTGCCCAACCGTCAGTGACCTCCACAGACCATAAACATACAATATACATGTCCTGATGATTCCAACCTTCTCTCTGAGAAACATTCTTTGTATTAGTTATCTGAGACATTGTGTTATTCATACATCTATTTCATTGTACTCATCTTCTCAATGAACACAGAGTCCAAGCAGACAAAGACTTTGCCTGTTGTGTTCAAGTTTGTATTTTAACAGTGTGTGAATATATATGTTCAATATAAAGAGTCAGACATGACTGAGCAACTAAACTGAATTGAACTGAATATATATGCACTTGTACAAAAATGAATTTAGAAAAAATGAAAAATTTGGAAAAGAAGGAGAATGAAACCAGGTTAAATAGTATGGTTTCAAGACAAGTTTAGGAAACAAATTTGAATGGAGTGTCGAAAGCTAACTGTGTAAGAAATATAATAGCAATAACTTATGGGTTTTCCTTGTGGTTCAGCTGGTAAAGAATCTGCCTGCAATGCAGGAGTCCTAGTTTGATTACTGAGTTGGGAAGATCCTCTGGAGAAAGGAACAGCTACCCACACCAGTATTCTGGCCTGGAGAATGCTATGGACTGTATGTATAGTCCATGGGTCGCAAAGAGTCGACAGGACTGAGAGACATTATAACTCATGATATAAAAATGGAGTAATTAAATTGACAATGACCTAGATATAAAATAACATAAAACATAATCTTCCTAGAATGTTCTGGTATATAGCACATTCTCAGTTATTTGTTGAATACATTAGGATTTAGGTCTCTATTTATGTACATTTAATATGTGGAAGGCTGCATTTCATTTTATTAGGAAGAAGTGAATTTTTGATGAAATTAAACACAAATATCTAGTTATTTTGCCAAGTCTATAGTTTCCGACTGTAAAACATATAACAAAAAATTAGAAAGATTATGACCTTAGTGTAAGAGTAACAGACATTTCATAGATAAACATCTTGCAATCTACATATAAAGTCTCTGGGTAGGTGAAACCATGGCAAATAAGTCAAGATATTCAGAAGTAAGAAAATAGACATTTTTAACTAGAGAAAAAACATTAATTTATGACCAAAAGTAAGTTCTTTAAGTCAGTTCAAAAACAATATTTTGCAAAAATTATTTGAAAGATTGATACCTATAGAAAAATGGTCATATAACATGTGGGTACATAATCATAATACTAGGCAAATCAAAATCATGACCAAGCATAAAAATCTTTGCTTGAACTCAGTACATAGTCTAAGAGAACAGCAAAAAATCTTTATCATACTATTGTCCTGGAAAAAATTAAAGACCTTCCACATTTTGGGGTAAGAATAATTACCCTCAAATGTGCTAGTGGTAGTAAAGAAGCAGTCTCTGATTTTTATGGAAGAAATGTGAGGTATTACAACTTTTTAGGGAAACAATCTGAAGATAGCTATTAATAGTCAAACTACAGATATTCTTTTTTTACTTTAAATCAATTTTTATTTTAATAATGAGTAAGATATTTTCCATTAGGAACTTAAATGCTTTCAGACTGACAAATATCTTGAACAATTACCATAGTCAAGAATATATCCAAAGTGGACAGTACAAACAAGATGCTAATTTTGGGAACTACCCTAGCAGTCTGGTAGTTAAGACTCCATGCTTCCAATGCAAGAATCAAGGGTTCAATCCCTGGTCAGGGAACAAAGACTCACATGCTGTGTGACAAAAGAAAAGAAAAAGGATGTTAATTTTTTAAAAATGAGTAAAAACAAAATTTTATGTGAATAAGATAAGATGTATGTATTGTCCATTAATCCACTTATTAAATAAATACTTACTGAATACCTGCTCTAGGCTATACAGTAAGCTAGTCACTGAAGATTTTAACCCAATTCAAGGATAATACAATTTAACCAAGAAAAAATACATTTGTAAAAGACTTACAGAAATGAATGTCATATTGCAATTAAAATAATCACTATGATGGACACAAACAATGCTCAAGAAGCATGTCAGAAACTGAGCTAGTCTAAAGCAATGCTAAGCAAAATAAGTCTCACAAACAAATGCACTGAAATAGGAAAATTTAACACTAGATCAGGAACAGGGAAATAGAGATCATAGTGGGTTGCATTTCCAGAAGCTGAAGATCTAAAACTCATTGTTTCCAAGCTCAGCATCCTTGACTTTTTTGCTTTCACTTCCTTTAACATTTGTTGTTGTTTAATTGCTCAGTCATGATTGACTCTTTTGTGACCCCATGGACTGCAGCCCACCAAGTTCCTCTGTCCATATGATTTCCTAGGCAAGAATACTGAAGGGAGTTGTCATTTCCTACTCCATGGGATCTTCCCAATCAAGGGATGGAACCCCACATGTCATGCATTGCATGCAGATTCTTTACTGCTGAGACACCTGGAAAGCCCTTCCTTTAAATAACTAAGTCATTAAACACGTGATAGAAATTTCCTGTATCTGTCTTCTCGTCACAGCAGCAGTTGATCACAGCTTCCTCTCCCACTGTGTGTTCTGGGCCTCCTTGGCCTCTGCTTACTCTCATGCTCCCCTCATGTCTAACTTAAAAACAATAAATATTACAGTGTAATTGTCTCATAATGCTGTGTCAGTTTCTGTTATACACAGTGAGTCAGTTATAAGTATATACACACATATCCCCTCTTGTTTGGATTCTCTTCCCCTTTAGGTCACCTCAGAGCTTTGAGTAGGGTTCCCTGTGCCGCACAGTAATTTCTCACTAGCTGTCTCTTTTATACATAGCAGTGTATACATGCCAGTCCCAATCTCCCAGTCTATTTCACCCCACATCCCTCCTTTGGCAACCATGAATGTGTTCTCTCTATCTTGGTTTCTATTTCTGAAAGGAGAAATAGAAAATGCAGAGATTCTTTAACTGAGGATACTTCCGTGTTGGCACAATTGACATTCAGGTCCAGTTCACTATGGTGGGGTCTGTCCTGTGTTCTGCAGGTGTTAGAGCCTCACTGACCCCTGCGGACCCCTGCTCATGTCACTGTCATAAAAGTCTGGGCGTTGCTCAAACTGCCCTGGGGATGCTTGGTAGGAATGACAGTTTGAACATAACTAACTCAACATATTTTTATAGCACTTGAATAGCAGTAGTTTAATGATAAAGATTAGGAATGGCAAAATGAGAGTAACACAGGCATACCATGAAATGGTGCATGAAATGGCATATGCTGTGATAATAGCGAATCATCACTGTCATCATCATGTCATCATCATTAGTGCTGAGAGTGTATATAGTGAGGAAATATTGAGTAAAGAAGGAAAATTGGACAAAAGAAAGAAAAATGATTGTGCTTTTAGGAAGTGTATCAGTATATATGTGTGCATAATACAGAATGAGAAGTTTTAAAATAATCTAAAGAATTTATGGCAAAAAATGTTAACTTGAATGAAACTAGGTTAAGTAAAGTAGTTTCAAAACAACTGTATGTAACAAAATGGAATGAAAATTTATGTTATATAAAAATGTGAAATAGTAACAATTTAGCAAAATCAACGTGGATCATTAATATAAAGTTAAGCTGCCAACAACTTGAAAAAAAAAGAATAAAACAGAATGACTTTTGAAATGTAGGGAGAAAGCAGTATTTAAGCTGCAATTTCACCTCATGTGAATAGCTGTGGATTTCAGTGTACCCTGGTGGCTCAGATGGTAAAGAATCTGCCTGCAATGCAGGAGACCCAGGTTCAATTCCTGGGTCAGGAAGATCTCCTGGAGAAGGGAATGGCAACCCAACCCAGTATTCTTGCCTGCAGAATTCCATGGACAGAGGAGTCCATGGGCTCACAAAGAGTCTGGCATGACTGAGTGACTTTCACTTTCAATTTTCAAAGAAAATATAGTGATCATTAGGCAAATGATAAAGAAGAATGCCTTCCAAGTGATGGCTTGATGTGAAGCAACTTTTAAATATAGGTCTAATCAAAAGGATCAATTAGGGATTTTCCTGGTGGACCAATGGTTAAGAATCAGCACTTCCACTGCAGGGGGCACAAGTTCCATCCCTGGTCAGGGAACTAAGATCACATATGCCATGTAGGGTTGCCAAAAATAAATAAATAAAGGAACAATTAGAAATAGCAGAGATGCAAATGCATGTTGGAACAACTGTAAATGGTGATTTATTAGCAGGAAGGATACAGAACTTTCAACTTCATTTTTGTCTAAAACAATGATCAGCAGGTGGAGAGTATTAAACTGACACCTCAATTTCTTTCAGAAAAAAAAATTTAAAAAAAAAACCAAATATATAGTGATGCATGTAAGTGGAATCTAGGAAAATGGTACAGTGGAACCTATTTGTTGGGCGGGAATAGAGACACAGACGTCGGGAAAAGACATATGGACACAGCTGCAGGGGAGAAGGGGGATGAACTGGGAGACTGGGACTGACATAGGAGCAATGCCATGTGTAAAACAGAAGCTAGAAGGAGCCTACTGTGCCACACAGGGAACTCAGCTCAGCGCCCTGTGACGACCTAGAGAGTCGGGACAGGGATGGGAGGGAGGTTCATGAGGGAGAGGATGTGTGTGTACATACAGCCGATTCACGTCACAGCACTGAGAAACTAGCACGGCGTGATAAAGCAACTGTCTGCCAATAAACAAATAAATAGAAAGCAACAGAGATTATACGATATGATTAACTGAGAAATCTGACCACACCAAATTCACGTATATTCACAATTCCCCTCAAATACATCTATACATAAGTAAAGAACTAAAGGACAAATAGCCAGTATGAGGGGGTGGTGGGAACCTCCAACTGTTTATTTGAAAGATCATAATTATAAGCAAGAATAGAAATTCTCCAGTTCTATTCTACCAAGGAAAGGAGTCATAACGATAATTTGAGATACAGAAAGTAAATAGTTATCAAATCCACTTACATATTCAAACATCACAAGTAAAGGAATAGTTCAACTTCTTTAGCATTCCCCTTTATGCAAATTAATTATTTTCCTTCCATTTTTTTTTCCCCCATAGAAGATACTGTGAAATACATGTCTCTTGCAACTGCTGTTGCAAGGATGTGTTTGCAGGCCTTCTTTGGTATGGACCTTTCTCATTAGTAAGGAAATACAGTCAAATATGCTCATTATTGAAATTTAGACAAAAATGCCTTCACTTCATTTTATGTCCCTCCAGTTAACACCCTACCTCTTTCTTCCAGTGAATTAGTAAGATACTTGGATATACTTTCTATTATCCTCCTGGAAGCCCTTTATGACTCTCTTGTCTTTTGTAATTGGGCTTCCTTTCCTGTCATTTAATTGTCATCACTGAGCATTGCCTTACTGAGTTCTCTTTTTAGCATCTAAAAATACTTTAATATTTCAATCAAACAAGCAAGCCACCACAGTGCTCTTTGGACTCTGGGATAGACTGAATAATTTTTCACATGTCCTCAAGTAAATATTCTTGATTTTCATTCTCTATGACCTGTTCCTGCAGTGTCTTTTGGGCTCTTGGACTCACCAGCATGGGAACTCTGAGAGGAAGTTCTCTAGGTGAAATCTGAATCCCTTCCTGGATGGTTGATGATGGAGACTGAAGCTCTGTGTGCAGACGAGACCACAGGAAGGGTTAAACTATCGAAACTTAAGCCAGACTTAGGACTCCAAAAGCAACAACTGTGTCTCATCCACACCCAGGTTGTACAAACTCAGGGACCACAGCAGAGGAGATATTTACAGCTCTCTCTGTCTGCTCATTATGTACATTTCTCTCATTTTTCAATGGCCTGTAAGCACATGAATTCCCTATGGAACTTGGCCTGGACAGAAAGAAATTTTTCCTGCTGATGCTCTGTTCTCAAGAGAGAACAGGAGAATTCAGACTTCTTGGGCTTCCCTGTTGGCTGAGCGAGTAAAGAATCCACCTGCAGTTCAGGAGACATAGCAGATATGGGTTTGATTCCTGGTTCAGGAAGATCCCCTGGAGGAGGGCGTGGCAACCCACTCCAGTATACTTGCCTGGGAAATCCTACGTACAGAGCCTGGAGGGCTGCAGTCTGAAGGGTCACAGAGAGTTGGACATGACTTAGTGACTAATTACTTCTTAAGACCTATGCCAATAGGACCTTTTATGATTATGTTTCCAAAGAATTTTTTCAGACCCTTCTTTAAGTCTTTATTTCTCAGACTATAGATGAAGGGGTTCAGCATGGGTGTGACCACAGTGTACATCACCGAGGCTGTTGCACTTGAGTGGATGCTGTGGGTACCAGCAGAGCTGAGGTACACTCCTAAACCCGTACAATAAAATAAGGAGACAACAGAGAGGTGAGATGCACAGGTGGAAAATGCTTTATACTTCCCCTGAGATGATGAGATTCTGCCTATGGAAGAGACTATCCTAGAGTAAGAGTAAAGAATACATGTGAGGGAACCCCCAGCCAGCAACACCGCTCCAGAATACATCACCACATTATTGAGAAAGGTGTCCGAACTGGCAAGTTGGATCATCTGATTGAGTTCACAGGAAAAGTGAGGGATTTCTAAGAATGTACAGAATGACAGTCTCAACAAACTTAAGCTTTGTAACAAGGAATGCAGGACGCTGATGACCCAGGACACCAGCACCAACAGTTCACAGAGCTGGGGGTCCATGATGACCATGTAGTGCAGGGGGTGACAGATGGCCATGAAGCGGTCATAGGCCATCACTGTTAGGAGCAAGATGTCAAGTCCTGCAAAGAGCATGAAAAAATACACCTGGGTGATGCAGCCTTCATAGGTTATGACTTTGCTCTGTGTCTGGATATTCCACAGCATCTTTGGGATGGTGGTGGAGGTAAAACAAATGTCCACAAAGGACAGGTTGGAGAGGAAGAAATACATGGGGGTATGGAGGTGGGCTTCTGAGCTGATGGCCAGTATGATGAGCAAGTTTCCAAATAAAGTGATCAGGTACATGGAGAAGAAAAGACCAAATATGAATGGTTGCAATTTTAATTCCTCTGAGAATCCCAGAAGAAGAAACTGTGAAACTCCTGTTAGGTTTCTCATTGCCATGTGTTGATGGTGACTATGGAAAAAGAAGGAAATAGCTTGATTTATTTCCACACAAAAGCATCATTACTCATGTGGTAGAAATACTACCATTTCTATTTTGCCATCAATACTTGCTTTCAACATTTTGTTCATGGATCTTATGCACTTGAAGGAACCTCCTGTGGCATCTCTAGTTAGCAAAGTTGTCTCACGGTCAGAGTTTCCCCCAACATGTTATGTATACTATAATTTTAATGAGAAATTCTTTCATGCATTTGAAGAATATAAATTGAATTGTGACAATATTCCAGGTACTATCTATGCAGGGAGTTAGGGTGTTGGAAAACAAAAGCTCATAAAATCTGGTTGTGCAAAGAAGATATAAGCAAATAAAAAGTTGCATAGAAATTTAAATGTATATATAGCATGTCTTATGCTTACGGGTCTCTTAAAAAGAGACCCATAAAATAAAAAGAAAGCTGGCATAAAAGCAGGAGTGAAAAGGAAATACTATTTTATGCATGTTTAGATAAGAACTTCAAACAAGATGCTATTTGAACAGACTTCAGAGAAGGGTGAGTGTCATGAACAGACTTGGGGAAGGGTATCCTTACAAGGGAGCAGCCAGTGCACAGGCCCTGAGGAAAGTGCTCATTTAAGATGACCCAGTGAATACCAGGAAGCCAATCTGGTGAGGGAAAATGAGCAGGATGATTAGTGAGGAGAGATATTGCCAGAGAATACTGAAAAATTATGTAGCCTCCGTGTTACTGCTGAAACTTCAAGTCATAAAGTCCATATGTGTCTTCAGCACTTTAGGAAACTCCATATGTTAAAAAGCCTATACGACTTATCTCACTTAGCATAATGGCTTCAAGTTCCAACCAAGTTGTTGGTAATAGCAAGATTTCATTCTTTTCGTAAAAACTGGTGTATCTAAACTGTTTTATTAGTTTCAGATGTACAACATAGTAATTTGATATTTTTATAGGTTATACTCCATTTAAAATTATTCCAAAATATTGGTTATACTCCCAGTATAGTGCACATTGCATATTTATGTCCTATTTGTTTTGTTTTATTTCTTAATATTATTTTTAAATAAATTATTTATTTATTTATTTATTTTGTCTGTGCTGCGTCTTCATTCCCATGCAGGCTTTTATAATGAATGAAAAAAGTCAGACAGAGAAAAATAAACATTGTGAGATCTTGCTTATATGTGGAATCGAAAAAACAAAACCAGAAGCCAAGCTCATAGATAGAACAGATTGTGACTGCCAGAGGCAGGAGCAGGGAGTGGGAATGGGTAAACTGGATGAAAGGGGTCACAGATACACACTTCCAGTTATAAGATAAATAAGTCATGGGGCTATAATATACCATATTGTGACTATAGTTAATAATATTGCATTGCATATTTGAAAGTTGCTATTAAAATAAATCTTAAAAGTTTCTATCAAGGCAAAAATTGTAACTACACTTGGTGGCATGTATTAACTAGACTCATTTTGGTAACCATTTCAAAATATATATAAATATTGGATCATTATGTCATAAACCTGAAACTAATATAACATATGTTGATTACATCTCAATAAAAGATACTTTGTAAAAAAATGCCTATAGGAAACAAAATTTAAGGAAAGTCCATAAATGACTTCTCAAAGAAATCATATATGACAATTACAATTTAATGATATCACATGTGTCACTAATTCAATTTTAGATTTGGAAATGAAAGAATATGACAGAAACTCTTTTATAATGTGGGGAGGAAGCAGTACGTAAGTTATAACTTCCTCTTCCATGGGGACATATGGACTCAAATTCAGGTATGGAACACAAAGTTGTCTTTAGTTAAATGTAAAGGAGAATGCCTTCCAAATATTAGTGACTGAATAAGTGCAACTTTCATAGATCGATCTGATCAAAATAGAATAAATTAAACAATAAGGGATAAGAGATATCAAAGGTAGTTGGAAATGCATTAAAAAGCATGATTTATTAGCACCTAATAAACAGAAGAACATTTTCATTTCTACTTAGAGCAAGGATTTTTAAGTAAAGAATTAAGTGACAATTCTATTCCTTCAGTTACACTTTTTTTTTTAAAGCAATAAAGATGAACTGAAAAAAATGAAAAGCAATAAGATGAATTGACACTGATTTCACCACACAAAATTTATAAACTCCCAGACATTATGTACAAATTATGGCAAACAGCAAGCTTGATGAAAATTTTTAATTCTTTGTTTGGAAGAATAAAATATAAAACAGAAATAAAACATGCAGGATTCACCTGGAGGGATGGGGTGGGGAGGGAGGTGTGAGGGGGTTTCTGCTGAGGAGACACATGTATACCTATGGCCAATGCATGTTAATGTGTTGCAAAAGCCATCACAATTTTATAAAGTAACTATCTTCCAATTAAAATAAATAAATATATTTTTAAAAAATAAATTAAAAAGAAGAAATGTCCTGATTAGTCATGTCTCTATAGTTTCAACATAGAAAAACCAATTGATTAGCTTATCTACAAATGCATTCATTCTTACAGGAAATACATACAGATGAAGCTCATTAATACCTCATTTTTCACATAACAGTATGTTTTATTTTCTACATTGAGAGAAGAAATACTGGGAAATATATGTACATCTCATGAACTGCTATTTCAAGAAAATATGTGGAGGCATTCCTTAGTCTGGATACTTCTCATCATAGTTAAATATGCTCCATATTAAAAAAAAAATCCTCACATCTCTGTACATCCTTCCACATCTAATACCCTTTGTCTCTACTCCAGTTAATTGCAAAATCCTTGAACTTATATTCTACTTTTACCGGAAGCACTTTATACCTCCTATTCCCTCTTCTCATTAGGCTTTCATATTCAGCTTTTAATGGTCAACTTTGACCTTGGATTGTTAGTTAAATTTTCACTTCTATTTTTGGAATAAAAAAGGAATATATTATTAAAAGCACACAAACCACTTCAATGATCTTGCCTCTGGGTTAGCCTGGACTGGCTCTCAAGTGAACTCGGGTGAATGTTCTTGATTGTCATTCCCTTTGACATTCTGCAACATCTATCTGGTTCTTGACTCACCTGGGTGAGTCTCTGAGAGGAAGGTCTCAACAGAGATGTCCAAACTCCTATTGAATGGTTGATGATGGCAATAGAAGCTCTATTCCCAGACAAGACAGTGGGATGCATCGGTCCCCTAAGTCAGTAATGACTACAAAAACAACAACCGTGTCCTGTCCAGCCCAAGGATGCACAGGCTGAGGGATGCAGCAGAAGAGATTTTTATAGCTTCCCCTGTCTGCTCATTACCATATTTCTGTCTTATTTCCACCACCTCTAATAACTGATTTCCCTGAGGGATGCTGATCTGGACAGACAGAAACACTTTCCTGCTCATTTTCTATGTCTGGGAGACAATATTACAACTCAGAGGCATTCAACATATTACTCTTTACATGAACTGTCCTGTCTTCCCAGAGGAATAAACCTTAAGGCTCCCAACAAATTAACCCAACCATGATTCCATTTTTATTTATTTTCATTTTTTTATTTATTTGTTTTAATTGGAGTCTAATTACTATACAATATTGTAGTGGGTTTTGCCATACATTGACATGAATCAGCCATGGGTGTATATGTGTTTTCCATCCTGAACCCCCCTCCCACCTCCCTCTCCATCCCATCCCTCAGAGTTGTCCCAGTGCACCACCCCTGAGCACCCTGTCTCATGCATCGAACCTGGACTGGTGATCTTTTTCACATATGATAATACAGATGTTTCAATGCTGTTCTCTCAGATCATCCCACCCTTGCATTCTCTCACAGAGTCCAAAAGACTGTTCTATACATCTGTGTCTCTCTTGCTGTCTCACATATAGGGTTATCATTATGATTTCTCTGAATTCCATTTAAAAGCATTAGTATACTGTATTGCTGTTTTGTTTTTCTTTCTGGCTTACTTCACTCTGTATAATAGGCCCCAGTTTCATCCATCTCATTAGAACTGATTCAAATGTATTCTTTTTAATGGTTGAGTAATATTCCATTGTGTATATGTACCACAGCTTCCTTATCNATTCTTTATATTGCAATGGTGAATGGAATTGTTTTCTTAATTTCTCTTTCTGTTTTCTCATTGTTAGTTATAGGATTGCAAGGTATTTCTGTGTGCTAATTTTATGCCCTACAACTTTACTATATTCATTGATTAGCTCTAGTAATTTTCTGGTAGAATCTTTACGTTTTTCTATGTAGAGGATCATGTCCGTTGCAAGCAATGAGAGTTTTACTTCTTCTTTTCCAATCTGGATTCCTTTTTATTTATTTTTCTGCTCTGATTGCTGTGGCCAATATGTCTAAAACTAAGTTGAATGGTAATGGTTAGAGTGGGCACCCTTGTCTTGTTCCTGACTTTAGGGGAAATACTTTCAGTTTTTCACCAATGAGGATAATGTTTGCTGTGGGTTTACCATTTTATATGTTGAAGTATGTTCCTTCTATTCCTCCTTTCTGGAGGCTTTTTGTCATAAATGGATATTGAATCTTGTCAAAGGTTTTTTTCTGCATCTATTGAGAGAATCACATGGATTTTATCTTTCAGTTTGTTAATTTGCTATATTACATTGATTGATTTGTGAACATTAAAGAATCCTTGCATTCCCGGGATAAAGTACACTTGTTCATGATGTATGATCTTTTTAATATGTTGTTGTATTCTGTTTACTAGACTTTTGTTAAGGATTTTTGCCTCTAAGTTCATGAGTGATATTGGCCTGTAGTTTTCTTTCTTTCTTTTTTTGCGTGGCATTTTTGTCTGGCTTTGGCATTAGGGTGATGGTGGCCTCATAGAATGAGTTTGGGTGTTTACCTTCCTCTGCAAATTCCTGGAAGA